AAACTTCCTAATAGGTTTTTACCACGACGATCAGGTATATGATACTCGTTCCTATAATAGCGTCTTAATAAAATTGCAGTGAGGTCATAGCGAAAAGCAGCTTGCGCCTTTGGCCGTGGCCAACATGCTAACCAACCCTGTCAGAACACATTTCAGGCATTTTTTTCAAAACTCTTACCGTCTATCTGCGGTAAACTAGTATAAGTATCGCACAAAATGGGTACAATTTCGTGATCAGCATGTCAGATAAACAAATGGACAAAATTCTGCGAAATTCAAAACTCAAGATTTTGAGACCAAGATTCCGCAATAATCACAGCAAATCAACACAAAAAAAGCGTGATAACGTAAAAATGAGATGTAAAATTTCAAACTAACAAACCTCGTTGTCTTCTTCCAGCACCAAAAGCCAGCCTTTGATAACGGAGACAACAGTATATAAGATAGGATTTATCGTATCTATAGCCTTAAGATTTCGATACATTCATAAAGGAAATCAAAATAAAAATGAATGTTACCAACAAATAAGCATAGACAAAAACTACCGTACTTTTGATATTTGGCGTGGCCAGTTCGCACAGAGTATGGCTCCAAGAAAGGATGGAATATTGCCAATACCATTAGGCCCATCCATCACGAAAGCTGAGCATAGTGTCATCAGTTCAGTACACATGACTTCACAGAAGAGATCGTATTCTGAAAGAACAATATATACGCCTCAAATGAAATTACTAAAGATTCTTCGAGAACATTCAACAATAGTTTAGGGAAGAGGAGGGGGAAGAGAGGCACTAGACATGAGCAAAAATGTTTGAGATACCCATATCATATCATATACTTTCTCTGACTTAACCGAACCTCAACGCGCATTTAAGAACAGTGCTAACTTTTTTGATTGGCAGAGTAGTTCTATCAAATGATATTGAACGAAAAGTTGAAATTTTTGGACTATGATGCTCCATCGTGGCCAAGTAATCAGATTTTGTTTACCGTTTTCATTATATGGCTAAGTGTGGGACGTTCCTCGCACTCATTCGCTAAGTAATTGTTAGCAATGGGTTCCCCTAACTGCTATAGTCGCTGAAACAGAGATCTAATGCTAAAACCGTGTGGGGTGCTTGAAAACGTCCCTAAACCGAGGTTCAACAGCATTGATTAAGGACGCAAAATAACTCTAATAGGCTTTCAAGAGTTGCAGTATGCAAACTTCAATATTCTAAGAAAGAGCTCGTTCAAGTCAATAACTAACCCATGAGTGGCATGAAAAGGTCAACTACAAAATCTGTCTCTCCATCAGTCAGAGCAGCAGCGATGAGACTTTTACACATCTCTGTCCATTCATCTTCGTTCATCCGCGCTAGGAATCCACACGCTGATATGTTCCTTTCTGAATTACAAACTGAGATGATGAAAGAAAATATGCGTTGAATGTCAAGTTTCATAATTTGATATTCAATTCTAAAACAGACTTATTTGTATCGCCGATCGGTCCGCTCTTATCTTGAGATCGGTTATCTGAGTGATAATGCTGTCCAAATCATTTAATTCCTGCAAAAAATCATTTTATGAAAGTAGCATTGCAAGGACGTATAGAGAAGAAGTAATTACGAGTGAACACCTCGACTGGTTCGACTGCCTTCCTTGGCCTTTCCCTTCGTAAGTGCTGCGGCTGTGCTAAGGATGTTCCACTTTGTAATGTGCTTTGAATAGTAGCGAGAAGACGTTGATCTCGTGAACTCTGAGGCCGGTCTGT